CGTGATGCCATCGAATGCAAGCAATCCTGCGGAGACAGAGATGATAGAATACGCATGGCCGCCCCACATCCTCAGCTCGGAGAGGCCAGGTTTCACAGGCATAGAGCTAGACAGCCACATCGAAGCATTGTAAACCCGAAGTTTGACAGCCAGTCTAAGATCGTGACGGCATCAGAGGTGGTTGAAGTTAATGTATGCCACTCTAGCCTTCATGATACTGTTGGAAATGTCATCCGTCACCCCTCCACCAGCACTCACAAAACTACCCAGATACACAAACTTATGGACAATTTCAAGCGGTTCACCTGCAAGAGTGAGTGCAGATACAGGTTCCTGTCAATCTTGTTACAGTACTTGGCTATTAATTACAGACACTGATCGCCAACTGCGTAAGTGCGATTTGAGCAGCCTGCATGCTATCGCACAGTAAGACGACATCGTCTGCATACTCGAGGTCGAAAAGTCTATCTCCAGGTAGCAGATCTACACCACCTTCACGCACATCCTTCAGAGCTGACTCCAGAATGTCATCGATGGCAAAGTTAAAGAGAAATGGAGAGATTGGACAACCCTGTCTAACCCCACTGTTGGTTGGTAACAGTGACAATAGTTAGTTGTATGTCCTCACTGTACCTGAAGTGTTCACGAACTTCTCACGTACACCCCTCTCTAAGAGACAGCTCTAGAGCACAGTTCTGTCCAACGAATTGAAGGCAGTCCTAATGTCAAGAAACACAACGATTGCTGGCCTGCAATACGTGTGGCGGTGTTCCAACAACTGAAGAAGGGTGAACACATGATCAATGCATCGACGGCCTGAAAAAAGCCCAATCTGCTCTTCGCGAATCAATCCCTCACGCGTTTTTCACAGCCTACGAACCAAGACAGCAGCCAATATTTTAGACGCAACTGGTGGCAGACTGATATCCCTAAGGTTGTCCGATGTCTTACATCAACCCTTTTTAAAGATGGGGACGATAATGGTTTCATTCCACACTGATGGTACATCCTCAATCTCCTTATACATTCCTAAATAATCCAGTTAAAGCTATGACGACAGTCTCTTCACTATCTTTAAAGAGAGCCGGGGGTATATTGTCTGGGCCGGGTGCCCAATGGCGTTTTAACACTTGGAGTTCCTTACGGACCTCCGCTTCGGTGGGTGGGTCGGTATTAACCGACCAAGGAGCACTGGGGCTAATGACAGCAGATACTGAAGCTGGTGAACAGCTGAACTGTTTCCCGAAGTGCTCTGCCCAGCGTTCCAGGCGCCTTTTCAAGCTGGTAATTGGCGTGCCATCTGCCTCACAGATTGTCTCACTGACACCTTGTTTCTTGCTTTCGATGGCTCGGATAAGCTGGAACAGCTTCCATCTGTTGCCAGATGCAGCAGTTGACTCTATCTCACACGCACATTCTGATCACCAAGCTTCGCCGTCCTTACGTAAACACTGTCTAATCTTGCGCCTAAGCGCCTTCCGCTTATTTTTGTATTCGCTGACAGCCGTAAAGGACCGGCGTTCATCTAGGGGTTGCAAGGAACTCGCAGAAACCCAGTGGTTTTTAGCGAAGCATTCTTTTAAGCCGCAAGCAGCTAAACTCGCCATTTGCATGGCGTCTTGCAGATGAAGCCAATGTTCATATACACTACTTGGGGGTTGCTAGCAAGCATCGACTGTAACTCGTTCTTGTATTTCAAAGAAGTAGCAGGTGCTACCAGTTTGCTCAAATCAACATTCAGATGGCGCCGTTTATGAACCGCACCAAATCGCAAGACGAACCTGGCACACACTAACGCATGATCGGGGTCCGGACATGTGCTCCAGAAGGAGGGGCAGTCTTCTATACATCATCGCCACCGGAAACTAACAGCGATATGATCAATCTGAGATCCAGCTTAAGGGAGGGCACGGCGACGGCTGTGCCAGAAGTTGGTGCTGGCTAGAAATAGGTTGTAGTATGCGGAAAGCTTCAGAAGACAGTCCTCATTTTCTGACCTGCAACCATGTAAGTACCACTGACCACATAGACAATTGTTCTCTGAGCTTAGACACCCGACTTGAGCATTTAGGTCCCCAGCCAGCACTTGTCTTAAGAGACCGCTCAGTTGGTAATAGAAATCATCCGGGCAGCAATCCGTCGATGCATAGGCAGGGATAAAAAGTAGGCACCGCCTATCTGGCCTACCACTCCTTACTTTCACATAACCTTCCAGCTTCACAGCACACAAGTGACTGTCAATGGGGATCCAGTAGAGTAATACAGCCTCGGCTTTAAAGCTAATTGCGACACCAACACCAGTTTCGCCAGATGCCGATGCCACAGGGACCCCGGATAAACGCACGTGGTACACACTATTCGAACTTTCAGATGGAGGTAGTCGAAGCACTTCAATGGAATCTGCAATTTGGGTCTTCGAAATGCAGCAGACATCAATAACGAGGTTTCCCGATATTCTTACCAAACCTGTCTGTTGTCGAATTCGCATCAGTGTCCAAACATTGTAAGTGGCCAGCTTGAACGTGACACGCGGTTTTTGAATACCTGTGTTAGAAGTTGCACTGGGGATCAACATTTTGAAGGCTATTCATTGATATCTCGAAACGACACAGATAGGCTGAGAATTCGGACAAAGGCGAATGGTTGACGAAAGTGAAGAAACCAAGGTTCACAAAAGTAAAATACAGGAGTGTATGTATAAAAATAAAAGTAAAGTTGAAAAGAGGTGTATCACTTGAAACATCATTATTGTTTGAGAGCATTGTCAAGAGCATGCGATCAGTTCACTGATAATCAGTGGGTGGTGACTAGTAGTGGAATCCAGGTTGCGCACTTCGTCCTATTTGGGACTCGTCGTCTGGATGTACCTGCATTCCGCACTGAGTGATGATGTTGCCACCGAAGCTCAAATGGGACGAAATAGACATCCTGGATTCCACTGTTAGTCACCATCCACCAATGAACTTCTAATCACATGCCCAGACATCGTTGAAGGATCTGCGCAAGAAGCCAACATGTCAACCTGAGACCGAGCATTTCGGTCCAATCAATCGACGGGTAAATCTAAAATTGAATTAAGTTTCATTGTTTCATTTTATTGATTGTGTGAGAGCTGAGATACTGCCCGGGCGCCCAGAATGAAGCAGGTGATTGTCTAAAGAAATCATCCCCCGAATCTTTGACTTGAATTATAATCTGCTAGGCAGCGGAGGAGCGTCAGGAGCTATGTTTCCATGGTTACCGGTGAACAATATAGGTTCATACTCTATTTGATCCGATTGGATTCTGGAGCCTATGTGTCCCATGGTAACTGCTTTTACTCTAGCCGCTATCTAAACAAACTTTTTGACATGGTAAAACCTGCAGGAACATAAGTCCCAGTGAGTATGACATAGTGAGTCACTGAGGTATTCAAGCCGGACCACCACGAAAAGGTAACAGTTGTCGACCGGGTCGCAGAACAACAACTACAAGACACCAGATTGAAAAGCAATATCACGAATACAGAAAAATGACTAGTTAGTCATACTAACTCGGTTTTCTATTGATAAAACTAATTACCATATACAGAATTGCTTTCTTGTACTAGTGACAACACTTAGTTTTTTACTTAGCTTATGCTAACCGCCACGGCAAAGATTTTTTTGTTGCATGACTACCTATGATACCAAATGGACGCTGGTACCTCCATACTTGGAGAAACATGGCACCACCTCATTGACTGAAATCAGTTATTGACAAATCAAGCCACGGTTCTATTGGGGTTTACATCTCATGCAATTAGGTGTTCGCAAAGTGCATTCACTCTGGGAGAAATGCTTACATCATTCCCTGCGCTATACAACTAACCACATTGCATCAATTCAAATATCTACTTTGTGACCATAGAACTTTAAAGATTAAAGGAGTCTGTGTCGCTAATATTATTTTCACTTATCAAAACGAAATGTATTACTTCAGCAGTAATACTAGTCAAATGGAAGGATTTCAGAGTACTCAGTGAATTTTTCGAAATCGCCAATCTTCCAACTTGATTTTGGATAGGTAAAAACGTCAACCAACAAAATCATAAATATATAACATACTTATTTCGAAGTTGTTGAGTCAGATTTTGATATCACGTCTGTGACAAACGTATAACAACAATTGTGCTTATATTCAGTGAATAAAGATACACATCAGTGAATACACAAGTGCAGTTAGTTAACTTTCTTTATGTAAACAAAAATGAACATTTCAGTACCAAAAATGAATTTGAGGTCTCCATCAACATGATACATGTAGTGGAAACCAGTTTATATTCATCGAAACCACTTTGTTCTTCACACGCAAAACACACATACCAATAATCTGTATTCAGCATTTATAAAAGTGACAATACACAAAATAATTGGTGTATTGTAAAGAGACGATAAATCTTTGATGATAACGCTGGCATATACAATATTTCAAGCAAATGCATACAGTAGAAGGACTGAATAGCAATGGGTGTCTCACAGTGAGTTAAATCTATATTACAAACAGATAAAAGACCGAGAATCTGTTACTCTTAAAGCGTATTACTTGTTAAATACAACCTATTTCGATGAACATGCGGTGTTTAAGGCTTTTGGTATCTTCTACTACTAACTATAAGTAAATAGTCTTCAGGTTTGCAAATACATGTAAATATAGTGGAAAAAATCCTGCATTCCCGAAGAAAAGTGTCCCATATCAACAGCAGTAACTGCTGTCCAGAATCACAACACAAGAGTTAGAAAATATAATTTCCAAAACAAGAGGTGTGTGTTAGCTACAAAGAAGTGGAGAGAAAGCTGACTTTTACGAGGACCTTAACTTAATTCTACTGCTTTATTTTGCCGTTAACAAAACATCGTTGTGTACGTAGAAAATCCTTAGGAACGAAACACCAATAGCAATGAAATTCACCAGCCATTTAAACAAACAAATATGATCATCATATAATGATAAAAAGAACATAGCATGGATTATTCACTTACTGGATCAGTGGTGAATGCTTTAAAATGAGAAACAACAGCAAGTAAAGCAAAAAAGTGATAAACTGTTCCGCTTATCCAACAGAAGGTAGGAGATGGCGTATGACCAAGTATGATGAAGTCTATTACAAACTCTGCATATAAGATAAGCATCCACGTAACAAAAAGACATATTATTCCACAAATATCCCGAACAAACCAAATGACACCAAATGTTCGCCTAAGAGGTCGTGAGTTCACTGAGTGAATTAAGGCACGAAGACCACAAGGATGTCTACATAGTGACAAATAATCCAGTAAATCCCCAGAAGGACGCAATGAAAATCGTAGTTTTGCTGCTGCTTCATCATCCCAGGAATCCAGATCCAAATCACGAAGGCCACGATATCTAGCAGGATCCATATTAACATGCATTAAACTGTTATCAAAAGTTTCTTCAGTGTATAGTGTATTAGATGGAGTTCTTGGAGACTTTCTATAAACGGGTGGAATTGTGTTTATGCCGTTATGCTTTGGTGCGATAGTATCTGCGAAAATAAAATAAATATAGCTGGTGAAAGTTTACATAAGTAATCAACGCAAATTATTAGTTGAAGTAAACCTCAAGTTACACTATAGAGTAAATCTGTTTGATAAAATCACGCAGTGATACGTTATTACTTACTGATGACGTTTTGAGCAAACTTCATTGCTCATAGTCATATCACAGGCTAGTTGGGATTATGATCAACCACAGTGCTGAAATTCTGACTGACTGGTTTCAACGTAGAACTCTGCACAGATATGCAGCAGTTTGAGTTACCACACTTCAAGTTCTATTTTTATATCAATGAAACCTGAAGTTAATACATTGGAAGATGGAGGATATATCTTATTGCTATGAAACGTCAAATATTCTGCGAGTTGATTTTGCTATAAAAGATAGAGAGAGTGGAAAGTTCAAAGTCATCTGCTTCTATTCCAATTGAATTTAGTCCTAAATGTGAATTGTAGTAAGCTTCAGCTTTTAATGAGTTTAGTTCAAGAGTCGTATTCATTACATTTAGCGATTACCATAATACAAAGTGAACAAACAAAAAACGGTGGACGACATCTACGAAATCTTAATTTGAAAACCGCCTGTAAGTTTGTGCAGTAAACTATTACTAGATAGATGAACTGAGAATTAGATCTGAAATCAATCATTGATGGAATTAATACTAAGATTTCGTAAATTACTATTCAACTTAGGGTGTGTTTTTTATGTTACTGTTTAAATCCAGTACAGCATATTTATTTTTACATCACTAGAAAACAGACTCCTTGATATGCAATGCAGGAAATCCGTTTAAACAACTATTCCCTGAGGGGTGGTAGGAATTAAACAAGAAAACTTCATTGTTACTACACTGAAACCAAATATGATTGAACTAGATCATTCATATTAATCCTCTGCAGTAATTTTGTGAAAAAGTACAGTACAATTTGATTTAAAACGCAGACGTCATACACAAAGAGCAGTAAAAAGATGTGCCATACATGTAAGAATATAGTAATCACTTCTGGTTTTAGTTTCGGATAACACAACTTTGAAAGTATTTCCGATGGCCGAAAATCAAGTGTCTCATTTTTAAAGAAGAAGGGAAGTTATTTGTATAGATCAGCAACTAAAACATTACTGGTAGGATGAAAAACAGTTCACACCATCTTTTTTGTCATTAGAATTTGATTTCAAAGTAAAAAAGTGTAATCATTCAATAAATACATAAATGTATCGAGTATACACACACTTTCGTGACAGAAAATAAATTTTTAGGTGACATATTATAAAAAATTAGATAGAGTTAACAGTTTAGGCCTTAGCTCCCGATGGAGATAGTATAGAGGCATACCTTACAGTAGCTGCCTCCACAAATATTATGGATACTCATAAAAATGAATTCGCTGCATGAACTTTCAGCACTACTCTTATTTCTAGGCTCCCATACACACTCTTCAAGTAAAGGAATATAAGCTAGCAAGAAAGACGATATTAATAAGACCTGTCACTCATCTCATTGGTGAATATCAGTTTACCGGAATTTCAGAAAAGTTGCCAAACTAAAAGGAAACACCCAGAGAACAACCAAAATGTTCTCCTTAACTTTATTCAAACTACTACTCAAGAAATGATTCGTAAGAAAACAACCCAATAGGCAGATTAGTCACCTAACCTACACGGAAATGAGCACTAGCTATTGTAACTTCGTGCTCACAAAATGTTGGTAAGCATCGAAAAAACGGGATAATCAACTATTATTTTATGGTAGCTTGCATACACCACTGCTGTAACACTATCTCACTCAACCATATATTTAGAGAAGTGATTATATACCAACCAGTTGGCATCTTGCAGATGACAATTACTTGTCAGTCAATCTCAGGTATGTGTGATGTGGCATGCAGTATTTTCTGTTTTTATCAACAAAACCAAGGTCATCATCAATAGTTTAATATTATTCACTGACATAATTAACTCAGGTGACGACTATAAAGAAAAACTGGTAACAGCATATACAAAAATAAATTAATAATTAGGAACAATAATCATGCGTTGACAAGGTAGTGCTGCGAGAAACAAACACGAGAAAACCAGGCAGCCTTTAGACCGCGAAGAAAGTGTATTGATCACATCTTTACCCTTCAACAAATTCTGGAACATACACATACTTACTAGCATCCAACAATCATCATATTTCTCGACCTGAAAGCGTCATTCCACTCCGTCGATCCAGAGGTACTATGGCGATGTTTGGCTGTGAAGGGAATGCCGAGACAATGCATTGCACTGATTAACGGACTCTACTGGAACTCATGCAGTTAGCCAGGTGACAGCCTTCGGAGAGTTGTGATTTTAAATAGTGAAAACCAGTGGTGCCCACTATCCCAGTTTCTGTTTAACTCCATCATGAATATCGTACTAATGGACTTAACCCTAACTGACTTCAGGGATTCGGGGATTGACTTGTTACCCAGGAATAATAGTCTCGTTGACATACAATATGTAGTTGGTATAGTCCTCTCACCCATGTGACAACACTGACAAAATACAATACTGAACGCTATTAGCGTGGCAGATAATTGTACGATCTAGCCTCTCAAGCTAAATTAGGTTGGATGGGATCAACTAGTTGAAAGGATACTGCAAAAGTCAATGAATCACATGTCCACAGAATTACAGCCCCAGAAAATATGACTAGTCTGGAAAAACTGACAATTTCACAGTAAAAAAAATTCACTTGGTATTGCTGAAATCAGACATTATGAGCAGAGAAATAATTTTTATACTCCCATTTAACGATTATGAACAATGTGAAGCAAAAAGACTAATGCAATACCCCAACAGTCCCGCACATTACACAGGTTTTATGAAATCCTTTTGCTTGAACAGGGAATTACTGTAAAATCAAACGAAATAGCGCTGTCAAGGCAGTAAGACTAGAATTTACTTTCAATAATGAGGCAAAAAACACTGCAGTTAATCACGTTTTTGTGTAAAGTGCTTTAACTAAATCTAAGATTATATATTGCGCCTCGGAGTTTCTCATTAGGACTAGTTATGTAGTAATTTTGAGAGTAAATAACAAAAGAAAAATGTGCCACAAATTTATTAAAAAATACCAAATTTAAAAAGACTGCTTATATATGATTAATTCTGATCAGTAGGAGAAAACGAAACTTCGCTCGTGTTCGTCATCGACGAGTAGGTGGATTTTGCGCCGGACAAGAGTAAGAAGTCAAAATATAATAAAGTACAGATGAAAATGTGGATTAAGTGTCAAAATAACCAGCATAAAAAACATAACGATCACCAGTACAGTGACTTTAAAAAACATTCATCCATAGCATTATAATTTTTTAAGATAAACACAGATTGCAAGTTTCTCACGACAACAGTATTTTATAAAAAAGAAAAAAGTTATCGACTTCACCATGAAGCCTAACTACTATATAAGGTGCACAAACCTGACTTATCTGATTCTTGTATGTCCTTCAAAAGTGACAGCTCTAATGAGTTATGCTTCATTTTTCATTAAAGAGGGTCATAGAGAGAACATAGTGCAGAGGAATAGGTCAACGACTTTCTAAACAAAAACAATCTTAAGGCTTAGAGTAGCGCATTGATTAAAATCTCGCCATATAATATTTATCCAATATCCAATATCCTGATTACGAGCTAGTATAAACCAGTGATTTCTTTGAGCTCGCTTCTTGATTTTAAGGTAGAGGTTCCAGATCTTCGGTGAACTTATGCGTAGTAAATCCCGCCACTCGACTGCTTTAGCTCTGGTAGACTCCAGGAGGAGTGATGCGAGGATTGGTCAAGATTGTGGTTTGTAGTGTGCAGTATGTTAGGACTCAGCTGCTGCCGTGAATGGAGTTTGACCTAACACCCGTTGGTCATTCGGTATAGTCATAAAAGTAGAGTAATAATAATAATAATGATAATAATAGGTTGTAGTGTAGATAATATAGGTTGAGATAAGTGAAATAATAAAGAAAGAAAGAAAAGATAGAGTAGTCGGTACAGTGGGAGAAGACAGGATGGGTCGTGGGGATTTAGCTTGTGTGCTTATCCATTGACAGTGTGGTTTCAAATTTTAAGAGGGTAAGCCATTGAGACACAAACCATGCATTTCTGCATGATTGTCCAGCTTCCGCTTAAAAATCTCCACAGATGGAGCTGTAGTTACGGCCGCCGGTAAAGCGTTCCAGAGACGGCAAACTCGAAGCGAGAAGAAATGTGAACGCACTCGAGTCCTTGGTCTCTGGTGTGCTATCCTTAGCGGGTTACCTCGTGGAAGCCTATAATCACTTAATGGCAGGATGCTCTTATCAGGATGGGCCTGGTCATTTAGGATCTTATAGACGGTGATGAGGTCTCCCCTGTGACTACGGTAACTAAGTGTGAAAAGACTTAATTTCTTCAGTCTCTCCTCATATGATTTGTTGCGGAGGCCGATCACCCATTTTGTCGCTCGTCTCTGGACACTCGTTTACTGGACACAATTTACAATAAATATTTTTTCGAAGAAACTTGAAAACGCGATTGGAATGTTAAAACAGAACGCCAGAAATATGTATTCTACTGAAAAATTATTGTGAGTGTGTAAGCTACTTCAGTAAATGTCTCATCTCACAAGGGAGATTGGAGTATTGCAATGTTAAAATTACCGATATTTTCACAAGTTTTCCCAGAAACGACTAAATGGAATTTTTACTAAATTCTTCTGTGACTGAATGATTTTGCCTAATTTTTTCATCACAATCCACAACTTAATAATGTAATGGTAAATAATACGACAGTCTATAACCATAATCTATTCGACTTTGGATGATGGCCCTTACTTACTAGGCAAATTCATTATTTCACGACATCCTCCCAATTTTCCCTGACTCTGAATATATATATATATACCACTTGGCGCTGTGTACAGAAAAGGCACGAATATTCAAAAGTGCTTGGAATCTTTTCACAGTAATAAAACGCACCACTGACAGCTTATTGCTTGGGATATTGTGCCACGAAACTTTTTGTATCCGCGTTATTGTAACTAACGCATATTTGTGTAATTCTCAGGCTACATTCCTTCACACGTTTTACTACCTACTATTTGTGTACCATAAGTATTATTCTTATTGTCACACGTCTTTGTAACTATTTTCCTAACCACGTTGTGCCAGGTAAACTAGAGGCACTTCGCACCATTCGCTTGGAATTCAAAACCATCAGGAACATTCCTCTGGAATAATGCAATTATCACTAGTAACATAATAGTATAGGCATTAATTTAAGTGCATGTTTCAGCCACAATATTTACTGCAACTGTAGCGAAGTTTGCAGGTTTTGCTAACCGTTCTTCAATGACAAAATTCTGAGACCAATAAAGCAAGATTCTGTGCTTAGCATACCTCTTCTGTCAAATGACGGCCTCTAACATTGCGGAAGTCTAGAGATGCTTATCAACCTTTAATTTCCGACAGATTGCAAGTGAGGCGCGGAATTTCTAACCTAACACACGGAAAGGCATTCGTCATTCAACAGATGAAGATAGTGTGGTGAGAGCTGGCTGCTAGCCAAAGTTGGTAGACAGTAATTGAAGTCACTGCTTATGTCCCCAATATTGGTAGTGAGAAAATGAGAACAAAGGCTTTGCGTAGGCGGATGCACTTAGCATATGGATGATCTGACACAGCCACGAAGAGATGCAATAATCTACAATAACGTACATTAAAACCTCTAAATATATGTTGATTTTCCTCAATAAACGATCTGTTGCCTGGCCCTTGTCTTCTGTCGTTACAATAGCTTCGCAAATAAGAAGGAAGATATAATTCCTACTAATCCGATCGTTTCATCCTGAATTTCTCATTTGCCAGCTACAACTCAGTAACCATGGCATACAGTGTTGCAGAGGCCATTCAGACCGAATATTTATGAACAGTTTCTGTATATATAACTGTTATGGCCTGATTCTACGCCATATTCTATTATCCTCCTTCGCCTCCCTGGTGTTCATTTCAATCCCAAATCTTCGTTCGGAGACATGCTGAAAACCTCATAATAAAAGAGTTCACCGATCGTGAAAGTACTGGAAGAACAGTGTTTCTGAGCATTTGTTTCACATAAAACTGCTTTTCATTTTAAAAGGCTCGTTCTGCAAATATCGCCACGTCGCATAATTAGACATTAAGGTACCATGCGCTTATCATTTATCTGAAAACTATGGTCATCAGTTTACATGGCTAAGTATCATCCTTATGTCTCCATACTGAAAGTCAGAGAGACGTTTGCAGTTTTTAGATGTAAATGTGCCACTGTGCTTTGACGTCTTCGGCGCAAAAAGTTAAAGACAGCTGGAATAAAACATACTGTTGAACTGCTGAAGACAAAAGCTTTGAAGAAAAAACGAGCTTCTTTTCTGAATGTAGCCTGGATAGAATTCAGTGGAACTTGTACGAACTACAAAACCTAGGGTCTAATCTGACCCAGGGAGTGAGTACACATAGGATATAAAAGTTGGAAGTTGTTTATGGGCCCATCACTGCAGCCACATGCCTCCAAGACACTCAGGAAAGATTTACATTGTCTCAGGCGAGTGAAATTCATCGGTTCACCCAAAGCAATGATGGTTGCTGACAGACAGAAAATTGAATGCCTTATAGGTAAGATTTTATTTTGATTTATCACACAGTGTTATACACTAGTATTAACTGATGACGTTTCAAGCACAAACTATCGCTCATAATCATATCAAGTAAGTTGATCATATGATATAATGATATGATATAACCAATATTAAATAAAGAAGAGTTCATGCAGTTTGAAAAAACCTGGGCTTGAGTATATGATATCCATTATAATAAAACCTTTTGTATTTTCTAATGAATGAAAAACAAAAGGATATTCTTTTTACTGTCGTTCAGCTATTTAATGCTACTAGCTTGATCAAAGTATTATTTAACCAGAATTCACAAAACCTCAGCTCATATGTGCATTTTAATAGATAGATATGCTTCTGGTTTGTTCATTCAAGCAGCTTATTTTCCAAAAAATCAACAACCAGAAACTCTGGGAACGGACCAATCAAATCCCCGACACATTAACATGTCCACCCTAGCTTGTCTAAAGGACCACAAATGTTGAAAAAGTATTAATTTATGATACTTCACAATTGCAATTTATGACATAACTTATTGCGCCTGTAGAAATGGCATGCATTCCTTGTAAACACCCACTGATACGACATATTAAATTATTATTTGCTTGGTGCTATACTTTAGAAGTTGAAAAATGCTTGCGACAGTGAAAACCACAGAAGAATGCTGTCATGACCAAAGAATGAGAAAGGAGAATGAACATTTTCAGCAAAGGTAGGCAAATATAAAGCGTTTAACTTTTACATTACTTTTTTCTAACTTCAGCGAATATCTGCAAGGTTATAAATGAATAAGCGAACTTACCTTCACTTGCTGTTGTATGTAGAAGCAATGCCTACAGTGGATTATGCAAATGTATCTGGTCACAAGTGGCAAAACACTCGCCAGTGTTTTTCGGATGTCTTTCCGAATGCGACTACATCTGCTTTCACTGAATTCAACTAACTGACAAACCTCATTACGACTCGACATTCCTTAAAGTGAAACAGATTAAATTCACTTACGTAAATTAAGCATTTACATGATTAACATGCATGACATAAGTATTCAACAAATTCAGTTATCATAGTTTACACTTCTTTTGAAATGTGGAGCACATTAATGGTGCAGAAAATATCGTGAATATTACGCATACATAATATTATTACCTGCCAGTAACCGCGCCATAGAACCATACTGCAAGAATACATTTGACAATACTTTGTTATTGGTCTGAGGGACAAAAATATTGGAGAGAAACATAAAGGCTTGATTAAAGTTGCACAAAGTTGTCCCACTACTATACAATGTCTCATTCGCCAGTTTTTCCTCTCCATGTGAACGTAGCCACATACTGGTATGTGAAAAAGGTTGTCACTATCATCAATACACAAGTTCCTCGCCGTTTGAGAGTCTTCTAATGTGTCAGCAGCTTCTTTTATATGTGCTGCTTCCACTCACACTAACTACCTGCGATGAAATTCTAGAAAAAGGGCTCGTTAACAAAGCACATTATTGCCACAGCTTGTCAAAATTCGCAAGAAACACAGGATAACAGACTATATGAGTGAGAAATATCGAAGTAAAAAATATTGTACGCATAGCAGAGAACCGAACTCAATGGAGACGCACGGCTGAAGCCCTATGTTACTCTAGGAATTAAAGGATACAATAATAATAATAACCACAACTCAAGAAATTCGTTAAGACCCATGGGATCGTAGTCACTGATAACCACCATAATGGGTCACCAGTTCCAAGGAAGTTTCTAACGGAAAGAGAATTGTATCTGTATAAAAATCAGTGAAACAACGTTAGAATAGATAAATGTTAGATTTATAGTCAGCGCAGTTGATTGCAAACAACGGAAAACACAACCACACAAAC